CTTTATAGGTCGTATTAACGAGATTGCTTTCCCGACATCAAGCCTGCCTAAGGCAAGTTTCCCAACAAGTCCGACGCACTGGCATGGCGCAGTGGTAGAATACTGGGCTGGCACCCAGCTGACCTGTGTCATTGGTGCTGAGTTTTTTTTTTCTCATTTCGCGCGATGTGGTTACGGACACTGGCGGTGGCGGCGGTGAACAACTATGGCGCTGCACAAAACCCGAGTTGTGATCTCATAACGGGCATTGTGATAATATTATTGTGAGCATTCTTCGTACACTTTATCTTATCTCTTCTAGATAATTATCATCATCGCTTCGGTCTGAGCAGCGAAGCTTAGGCTCGAGTGTCAATAAAGAGGTGGTTTGCTGCCTGAACTTTCTCCTGTACTATATATATATATCAAGAGAGAACTTGATTGACACTTGCACTGCAATGTCATTTTGTGTAGAATTTGTTCAATAGTGTAAAAAAAGGAAAAGTCAGTTTTAGGCAGCATGCACTGGGACAACACATATACGCGTGTTATGCATTGGCTTACAGTGGCTTCGACAGAGCAACGGAGATGCTATTGGTTTTCATTAAAGGAAAATTACTTTTTTGAAGCAGCAAATGCTTTGACCAGTCCATGAAAAGTTTGCTCGGTTCTATCCGTAACTTCATCGGCAGTCACAGCAGAATAAAAGAATGAACAAGTGATATATTGTTATAGAACCCTGGCTTAGTGCTAGCCTGCTCTGAAATTTACAGCACAAGTTGCAAAAGCATCGCATAAGTAGTCTGGCCCGCTAAGAGCCTACAAAGAAAGTTGTAACCACAGAATAGTTAGAAAAATTTCACTATATTGTAACATTCCCTCGGAACAATATAATTGAGTGATTACTGTGGTGATGGAAAACTTCACCTATTGGTTTCCCCAGCGTTCAGCCAACAGTGACTACTGTCCAAAGTAGCCCCCCCCCCCCCCCCCCCCCCCGCTGATACGCCTATGGTTAACAAGAACCTGTGTGGGAAAGATGGCTTATTGTGTCACGCCAGGCTCTGCATTTTCCTTTGCTGAGAACCGTTGACTGATCACAAAATCGTTTGGCTGCCGACTTGCGTGTCTGCATTCTCTGAGGTGTGGCTTTGAAATACTGAATAGTTACATAGTCTTACTTCTGTTGTTTCAAGCATCATTGTTAAAAGGTGGTACATTAATTTCACAGGCTTTCTATGAAATTGTTATTCTAATGTCACTTATTAGTACACCGAGCCAGGTAATCTTAGTCGTATAAATTTAAAAGTTGCATGTTCTTGGTTGAAGAGCTTTGGGCCATTTGATGCACGCACAGCATAAGAGAACAGGAATCACTAAGTCCATCTCGCATGTAGGAAGTGCCTCAATATGCTTCGAATGGTTACATTGCACAGTAGCGAATTTTCTTCATAAAAAATATGAGTGCACAAATTCTAACTAGTGCTATGAGACGCATGGATTGTGTGTACCATTGTGTATTAGCAGTTATTGAAGTTAAAGCTTGCCAGCTTCTCCTGCCAACTTTTTTCTCATAACAGATAGCACTTCTTGAGGCTTATATATAGAATTAGCTTTGAAATGAGCTCAGATTTGTGGCAGACAGAATTTGTGCAATTATTGCGCGCTGCTTGTCACTGCTATAACAAATGACATAGCCACGACACGCGCGCTTTGAATAAAATGGTTCATGCATAGCCGTGCACCTCACTCTCACAGCTGCAGCAATGTGAGAATATTACGAGGCCTAAATATTATTATCAGGCTGAGGAAACGTGACGTTTATGGAATTTTCTGAAGGTAACACAAAAACAATGTGTTATGTTGTTAGTTAAGATCGCTGTGCAGAATCCTGATCACAGCATGGCATGTTATCCTAACCAAATAATTTTCAAGGATGGAAGTATTAATCGCTGTATAAATGTACTTTGTCACAGCCTATGGGGAGAGCTTTTTGTTCTTGCATAAAAATAAAAGAAAAATGTGGGCTATAAGAGGCAGCGTATGTGCATCTGTTCGCAGTATTTCATTGTTTTCAAAGTCCATTGTGCTGGCCATAGATGTTTGTGTGCCAGCTGTTGAAGAGTGAGAGAAGTTGTTTGTATTGTGGTGGCAGCAGCTCATTTGAATTTGATGGAGCTGCCGTCAACCTTAATAGAGTGATTTTTTCTTTCAATATATGCACTCAAGTTTCTTTCGAGCCTGGAATGCTGTGTGGAGTGTGCATATTAATTGAGCTTTTAAAGTGTGGAAGAAGGTTCTGGCTGGCTAGTTTGTAAAATGGCAATACTATACACCGTATTGCTAATAGCCTTCCCCTATTTACTGGGTGTATTATGCATCACTTTATTAGGTTGTCAGAAATACCAAATTCGTAGAATGTAATAAAAGATGTAGTGCTTAGGCACAGCTGTAGTGCTTTAGGGGACTGCAAATTTCCATGTACTTCAGCACTTCCCTTGCTGCGGGCCTGCTTGCGTGGCAGTTCTTTTCAATGAATAGAGGAGTCTATATGCTGTCCATGGACCGTCCATGAACTTCATTGACCTCCTGGCATGACAAACGAGTGCATTTTTGTCCTCTTCAAATACTAGTTCGTCATGTTCAACGGATGGTAGGGGAACCAAAACCTTTATTAGCGATGTCGTCTGAAAGCTGTTTGTGAAATGCATCAGGGTAAACTTGATTAAATTTTTGTTTGCCTTCGCTGTGTGAACGCTTGTTTTGCTGCAATTGAAGTCAATTGGCCCACGTTATTTGAACTGCGCTTAGGGCAGTTGTTCTTTGTGTTTGAATGAGCCTTAATTTACATCTTGAAAATTTAAACAGCACTTCTCATGGTCTGCAAACGCCAACAGGAGGGCCTAGAATATACATATTTTAGGCACTATGCATTAGCATTGAAGGTCTTAGTTTTTAAAAAAGAATCAATATTTTGGCATTTTTAAAAGCACTGAAGGACAGTGTGCAAATGTGACTGCCTTAGTCCTGCACATTTTCTATAGCTGTAAGCGATGAACAATTATCAAGCTCAACTCAAAGCTCTGCTCAGCGACATTTTTAGAAAATAAAGTTGCCGAATAGTAATGAAGAAAAGAAAGAAAAAGCAACTATCCTCACCCCAAAACCTACACTCCTTAATTTTTGCTTACTTTTTTTGTGCAACCTAACGTGCAAAGTGATGCAAGATAAAGCCAACAGACGAAAACCTAAAAATTTTATAAATTTAGCCATCGAACTAGCTATAGACACTTGCCATATAAACTTTATATTGAAACATAAACGAAACGATAAATAAATGTAGGATATACAAAGTTCAAGCAAAAGTCACGTTTATTGGCTGTTGACATCACGTGATAGGTTGTTTTGTAAAATGCAATGAGCGCTTTGAACACATGCTGAGGGACAAGAGTGCACTGAGGAGCTTGCGAGAACTCTTGGAAAATGTGGCGTGGTAACCACATGTCCTGTGCATACAAGTCAGAGATAAGCAAAGTAATAGCAGTTTCATCCATTAAACAAAGTGGTGGCATGAGAGGTGGTGACGTGTACTGTGCAAACAAGTTTATATATTATGAAGTCTTGGTTTGGAAGACCTTTATTAGGCCCGAGGAACCGGCAGCTGACAGCTGCGATGAACGAACCAAGATGATGATGATACGTGACAACGATGAGGATGCATGAGCAACACATGATAATGATGATAATGTACAGATGAAGAGGATTGGTATACTAAATGCCCACAATATTTCTACATGTCGTCCTCCTGAAGCTGGGACTGACAAGTTGGAAACTTGGTATGAGTAGCTGAGCATCTCGACGATCATGTACACTGAGGCCAACACTTTTTCTATTTGTGCAATGGGCTGTTGAATGTGTGTATGATACCTCTAAACATGGGTGAATCGCAGAATCCATTCATATAAGAGCTGCTACTTTCTTTATTTGCCAGAGTTGGCAAAACTAACCCAATTCTATTGGATAGCACTGTTCGAGTGCTATACAATAGAAGGTTTTTGATATGTTTTTGTTCCGTATGCCTGCCTAGTGAAAATGTTCACGATATCATTATTATTATGTTAGGGGCTGGCAAGGACAAGGAAAAAAGTTGAGGCAGGTACGTGGCAAGACTCAGCATTGACTGTAAACTCAATTTTTTAATTCAAGAAATGTCCTTATGTATTGGGGCCCAAACTTTTGCACCTGTGCACACTTAACAATGACATAGTACATATATTAAAAATTGTCACTCTTTGACATGATGAACTAGTTCGAACTAGCCCTGTTCTCTGTACTCCTAAATCATTATCAAGCGATAGCTGTGCAATATTTTTGGTTAATGTGTTTTCACTTGAAATGTGTCAATGCGAATTTCCTGCACTTATGAAAGGATGGGATGCTTTGCTGGCCCTGAGCAAACGCACTTTCGTGGTACTTGAAGTGGCTTGTTTGATTTCCTTATAAAGTGCGGGCCTAAATTTGTTCAGTGAATGTGGTACAATGTTGAATTTTTGGCTAGACCACAGTGGCCAAAAAGCTGATTGAATAGCCCAAAAATGCCATCACATGAAAAAACTTGGTGCTTATATGAGCTGTAGCTATGGTTGTTCCTTCATCCAGTTTTGGCTGCATACCAGCTAAAGCCTTGTTGCTGTTTGTCTTAATTTGTAGCCTGAAAGTGCCAAGGCTGCCAAAATCTCTACATCTAAAGAATTGTGGTACTTCAATTTCAATCTCCACATAAGGTAAATGTATCTGTAGAGATTGTCAAGGGCAGTTTCTGTAGTAATGTGCCTTTACCTATTTCGTAAAAGTTTATTTCATTAGATTATATATGTCAGCATTGAATGAAAGTGTGAACAGAGCATGGCTTTCATAATATCAGTAGCATATTGCTTGAGAGTATAAAAAATAAAAGAGCTGCTATCAATCTATCTTTAGTTTACTTAACGGCACATGTCTTTTTCACCCTTTTCCCCCAGGGTACCTGTGTGCCCCAGACGCCAATGTCTACGACATTGACTTCACGCGCTTCAAGATACGAGACATGGAAAGTGGCATGGTGCTGTTTGAAATCGCCAAGCCACCACCTCCATCCACACCTGGTGAGAATTCATTTACAGAACGCTTTTCTTGTGTACTTGCTGTAGTAGCTTCAATAGTTGTGACAACTGGCAGGCAGTAATCCTAAGGAAAGTATGGGGGGAAAGGGGGAAGAACTTTTGCCGCTTGTTGTAGCTTTCGAACCTGCCTGTGGCAAGTTTTCTTTTTGTCCACTCTACTTTCTTAGCATTGATATCACAATTACTTCAAATATCACCCCTATATTTCCCTTGGCATTATTGTCCGTCCCTTCTTATCAGTATTGTCTATAAAAAGAAATACGAGCCCTTGAAATTTCACTTCTTTCCTCATATTCTTTCATAGCTTGATATGTAAGGTGTCAAGCTACTGAGCTCGAGGGTGTGGGTTCGATTCCTGACCACTTCGGACATACTTCAGTGGTGCGAAAGGTGAAAAACACCCATATGCTTAGAATTAAGTGCACATTGAGAAACCACAGGCAGTCAAAATTAATGTGGAATGACATACCTCATAATCATATTGTCACGGCTAAAGGCCGGGAAAGAAGACAGAGGACGATGAAGTGATGAGCGTGGACAGCACCCACGGTTCCTCCGTGGAAGAAGAAGTCGAAGCGGCTGCTCTTTTGTTCTGTTAATACAGACCTCGTTTTTTCTGGTCGCACCGTCGTCCTGATTTCTGTTATTTTCACCTGGCGACATTGGTGGAGGTGCTGGACTTCTCCAACTGATGCTTGAGACAATTCCGCGCCCTAGCACATCGAGTCCACCACCGCAATCCGTTCCTGCAGTGGATACTCCTGTCCACCGCTACAGTCGCCGACAGCGAGGCCTTAGTCCCGAGGCGATCCCGCTCGAACTTCTCCAGCAACACACCATACCAGGAGAAATGGCTACCGGAGGGCCTTCACAGCTTACTGTTGATCAGCCTCTAATTCCTGAGACCTTCCACGGTGAGGCTTATGAAGACGTCGAGGACTGGTTAGCTCAGTATGAGCGAGTCGCCAAAGCCAACCGCTGGCCCACTGAACAAAAGCTATCGTGCGGCTACTTTGCTTTGGCAGACAGCGCTCGTACGTGGTACGAGAACCACGAGTCAACGCTGTCTTCGTGGGAGGAATTTCGGCAGCAAATTCTCGGGACATTCGCAAACATCGACCGCCGTGATTCTGCTCTGCAGCTCATCGAGGCACGCATACAGAAACCAAACGAGAGCGTCGCCATGTTTGCGGAAGACATGGCCCGCCTATTTCAGCAAGCCGACCCCGAGATGCCTGAAGGTAAAAAACTCCGACATCTGATGAGGGGCGTCAAGGAAGAGCTGTTTGCCGGTCTCCTACGCAACCCACCAACAAGCGTAGTGGAATTCGTCAAAGAGGCTACAACAATTGAGCGAGCACTGCAGCAACAGCGCCGATACCATGACCAACCAATCAAAACATCTCCCAGTCTCTCTGCTTTGAGCGCCGGTAGTGAGTGTTCTCTGCGCGAACTCATTCGTGAGGTCGTTCGGGAGGAGATCCAAAACCTCCTTGTGACTCCGCAAGAAAATACCATGGCTTGCGTTGCAGAAGTTGTGCGGCAAGAACTCCGCCAGGCATTTTCGTTGCCCGAATCGCCCTCAGACCAGCTGTCTGTGAGCTACGCTTCAGCTGTCCGGCGACACACTCCAGTGTCCTACAACTCGTTACCACTGGCTTATCGTGACGTGAGCCAAGGGCCTTAGAACGAGCCGTGGGCCCCAGCTCCCAAACCACCGCAGCCGTATCCACAGTCCAACGTGCCTATGCAAACGGCGCCGATATACACTCCGCCGACATCTGCATCATGGTCGCAAGGTATGCCCACCAGTCGACCATTCATCGTAAGACGGACTTGTGGCCCACCGTCGACCGTCGACCACTTTGCTTTCATTGCGGAGAAGCCGGCCATATTTTTCGCAATTGCCCGTACCGTGACCGTAGACATCATAACTTTCTACAAACCTCCCCTCGTGCCTATTTCGATAACCGCCGTGACAGCAGTGCAAGCCCGCAAGCACAGCAACCCGAAGTGCCGTATCGTCGACCCCGCTCTCCTTCACCTGCACCGAACTCGCCGCCGCAGCGCAGTTACTCCGAGGTGGTCCGGGGCAGATCTCCTAGCCCTCGTCGGGGAAACTAACAGCTGCGACCTTTGGGGGGAAGGTTGCCGCCCGTCGAGATGCTATCACACCCCCAACATCTTCTCTACGACGCGATACGACGTCACCACCATCAACGGAAATCGTAAGCGCCAATCTAGACATTTCTATAGACGGACACCCAATAACAGCACTGGTCGATACTGGTGCAGACTTCTCTATTATCAGCCGTAAACTCGCCGACTGCCTAAAGAAAGTAAGAACAATATGGACGGGCCCAAACATAAGAACCGCAGGAGGTCAATTGGTGACGCCGAGGGGCAAATGTACAGCTCGAATTGATATCGGCAGTTCAGATTTCGTCGCTACTTTCGTAATTTTACCGGAGTGCTGCAAAGACCTGATCTTGGGCATGGACTTCTTGCGTGAATACGGTGCCATTATCAACATTCCTGAGAGATCGGTTACGTTTTGAACGGCCCCAGATCAAGTTTCGGATGTGCCTTGTACAGACCAGCGACGTCAGCCTTTGCACGTCTTCGAAGACGACGTGACCATCCCACCGCGGTCGAGTGCACTTGTGGCTGTGACATGTGACACGTCGAGCGATTCTGAAAACATCACCGAGCAAATTCCAACACTGCTATTCAGCCATGGTTTATCTATCGCAAGAGGCGTCGTAAGCATAAAATGCGGACACACGCACGTCCTTGTTACGAACTTCAGCTCTGAACACCGACATCTAATGAGGGGCATGGCAGTCGCGTACGTGGAAGAGCTCGCCGAGATCACAGACTGCCTAACTCTTGAAAAAGATAACTCAACTGATCTGACCCCCGCACCTCTATCTGTTGATATTGGCCCAAATTTGCTGCCGGCGCAGAAGCAAAGTATCATGCAGCTTATTAACAAGTTTGAAGATTGTTTCTCTTCGATTTCCAGGGTCCGTCAAACGCTAGTGACGAAACATTGAATTATAACGGATGACATGACCAGACCCATCAGGCAAAACCCACATCGGGTAGCTCCGCGAGAACGTGAAGCCATCGAAAAGCAGGTGCGACAGATGCATGAAGACGACGTTATTCAGCCGTCGAAAAGCCCTTGGGCTTCGCGGGTTGTATTAGTGAAGAAAAAAGACGGCACCTTGCGTTTCTGCGTGGATTACCGCAAGCTGAATCAGGTGACAAAAAAAGACGTCTACCCATTTCCACGTATCGACGATTCACTCGATCGACTACGCCACGCGCGTTATTTCTCGTCGATGGATCTAAGGAGTAGGTATTGGCAGATAGAAGTCGATGAAAGAGACCGGGAGAAAACAGCTTTCGTGACACCTGATGGCCTTTTTGAATTTAAGGTACTTCCATTTGGCTTGTGCTCAACACCGGCAACGTTTCAGCGGCTAATGGACACCGTACTATCAGGCCTCAAGTGGCAGACGTGCTTAGTGTATTTAGATGACGTCATCGTATTTTCTGCCACATTCGACGAACACGTCAGGCAACTGCACTCAGTATTTCAAGCTATCCGTTCCGCCGGACTAACACTTAAGCCGGAAAAATGCCATTTCGGCTTCGAAGAGCTTCTGTTCCTGGGGCATCTTGTCAGTAAAGAATGTGTGCGGCCTGACCCTGAAAAAATAGCTGCCGTTACGAATTTTCCAGCGCCAACTGACAAAAAGGCGGTCAGACGGTTTTTAGGACTGTGTGCGTACTACCGACGCTTCATTGAGAACTTCTCGCGCATTGCCTCGTCGTTGACCCGCCTTACCAGAGAAGACGTCGCATTCGTATGGAATGAAGAGCAGCAAAAATCATTTGACGAGCTGCGGCAACGCCTTCAGAAGCCACCAGTCCTCGCACACTTTGATGATGACGCACCGACAACAGTGCACACCGACGCTAGCAATGTCGGCTTAGGAGCTGTACTCGTGCAGTGGCAGGATGGTGCCGAACGAGTAATTGCTTACGCGAGCAGAACTCTTTCACGTGCGGAAGAAAATTATTCCACTACGGAAAAAGAGTGCCTTGCAGTGGTGTGGGCGGTTATAAAATTTCGTCCATACCTGTATGGTCGTCCTTTTAATGTTGTCAGCGACCATCACTCCCTCTGCTGGCTGACGAATTCAAGAGACCCTTCAGGACGGTTGGCGCGCTGGAGCCTGAAGCTTCAAGAATTTGACATGACGGTGGTCTACAGATCGGGGAAGCGACATTCAGACGCTGATTGCCTTTCTCGTGCGCCATACGAACCTGCGACGGCAAAAGATGACGATACAGCCTTTGTCGGAGTTGTAAGCACGGCAACTGTCGCACAGCTGCAGCGAGACGGCCCCGAACTAGAACCCATAATACGTTTTTTAGAGGGTCGCACTTCAGCTGTACCTAGACTGTTTGCGAGAGGGCTTTCGTTATTTTGCTTGCGCAACGACGTCCTGTATAAGATGAACTTCACGCCACACGGAAACGACTACTTACTCGTCGTCCCAACATCTCTAAGGAGCGAAGTATTACAGGCATGCCACGATGAACCAACATCCGGCCACCTGGGTTACACGCGTACGTTGTGCAGAGCGAGGCAGAAATACTACTGGCCAAAACTGACGGCGACCGTTCAACACTGTGTTCGGACGTGCCTTTATTGCCAGCGCAGAAAAGTTCCACCCGTCAAACCAGCAGGCCTCCTCCATCCTATTGACGTGCCTGTTACTCCATTTGCTCAAGTCGGAATGGATCTTTTGGGCCCATTTCCAACCTCATCAGCAGGTCGCAGAAGGATTATAGTAGCCACCGACTACCTCACTCGTTACGCCGAAACCAAGGCTTTAGAGAGGGGCACGGCAAGTGAAGCAGCCCGATTTTTCGTAGAGAATGTGGTGCTGAGGCATGGTGCTCCATCAGTGGTAATAACTGACAGGAGAACTGCATTCGCAGCCGAACTATTACAGACAGTTTTAAAACTTAGTGGCACATCCCACCGGCGAACAACGGCGTATCATCCGCAAGCGAATGGTCTTACGGAGCGTCTCAACAAGACACTAGCGGATATGCTCTGCATGTACGTCGATGTGGAGCATAAAAACTGGGACGAGATCTTGCCGTATGTCACGTTCGCCTATAACACGGCTCATCAAGAAACAACAAGAACAACGCCATTCCGCCTTCTTCATGGTCGTGAAGTCACCACTATGCTGGATGCTATGCTGCCGCACGAGGGCTAAGACGCTGAAACGGATGCTGATTATATCACTCAGCTGGCTGAAGAGGCCCGACAACTTGCACGCCTACGTATTAGTCGCCAGCAGGACTACGATTCAAGACGGTACAACCTTCGTCACCGACCAGTCTCCTACGAGCCAGGAGAGAAAGTTTAGATGGGACGCCTATTCGGCGCCGTGGCCTCTCAGAAAAACTGTTAAGACGGTACTTCGGTCCCTATAAAGTTCTGCGACGTCTCAGTGACATTAATTATGAGGTTGTTCCTGATACTGCGCACTCTTCAAGGCGTCGAAGGTATGCTCCAGAAGTTGTGCACGTGGTACGCATGAAGCCTTATTTCTCCGAATGAACTCATGTGTTTCCAACGAGTACAAACCGCTTTGATTATAAAGCATCGGGACGATGCTTTCTTGAATGGGAGGCTAATGTCACGGCTAAAGGCCGGGAAAGAAGACAGAGGACGATGAAGTGATGAGCATGGACAGCACCCATGGTTCCTCCGAGGAAGAAGAAGTCGAAGCGGCTGCTCTTTTGTTCTGTTAATACAGACCTCGTTTTTTCTGGTCGCACCGTCGTCCTGATTTCTGTTATTTTCACCTGGCAACAATATTGTGCTTTTGAGACATGAAACTCCAGCTGTTGCCTGCATTGCCTCGAGAACAATGTCATGTGGGGTGGGGATCTGGTTCAGGGATGAGGTGTTGAATTGTTCACAGTAATTAGTAATAAAATGCCGGAAACAGAGTTAAAATTAAGAATAGCAGCAAGCTGAAACAAAATGAAAACAATGGTACATTCTCCCACAGTTTTAAAAAAATATTTGTGATCATTATCAGAGGCAGACATATAATCTTCCAGTACCACATACCAGTCTTGCAATGTTTGGGGTGTGTTGATAGATTGTAGATTGAAAGCAACATTTGGCCTGTTTTAACTACTTGGATATCTTTAACCTGCATGTAGATTTTGTACAGTGCCTTCATCACAATGTCTGGCATGATTGGAAATTCAATTTTCTGACATTGATATCAATAACAGAACCATCGGCAATATGACCATTGGCAATATACCACATCATGATGGCTTTAGCCACACTTTGAAGTGGTATTAGTATGCCAGCCAGGGAAAGAGATGAGGGGTGAGGTCACTGAACTTAATTTTCAGGGCAGTCTCTTTCATGTGCAACACTACAAGGAGGAAGTGAGCATTGTTACTTGTGTGTGCATACTTCTAATCAAACTAGAACTTTCAGGGTAATGAGAACCTCCTCATGCACTTACCAAATATACTTGCTATTAGGTAGTTTATCAGCTTCCACTATGATGGCACTAAGCAGTTTTGCACCTTGTGCATCTTTTTTTTTGTTGCCACGCTTGCATGTCGGAACTGTCGATTTCTTCCATTTTACAACTTTTCTTTTTTTCTCGTCCCGTACGAGGCTGGCGCACCATGTTTCGATCTCCTATGATTTCTTACAGCAATTATCTTTATAGAGGTCCTTCCCTTGGCCACCATCAGAAGCTGCAATACAATTAGTATCACTTCTGCTGTGCGTCACTGCACCTCTTAGTGTACGTTCAAGTCCCAGGAATGTTAATAGGTTAGGTGCCGCAATAGTGCGAGGGCTATGGCTTTTTCATGGCTCTATTGTTCAGCTCAGCTCTTTTGATTAGGTGTCACAGGTCTCGTTAATTCGGGAGGCGATCGCCGGGCTAATTTCAAGGGCCGAAGTATCGGCCCCCCGAACCACACCACGAAAACATAGACAATTTAGAAGTGGTCCTTTTTGGCGCGCCAGCGGATGCCGGCTGTGGCCCAAAGAACAAGTCAGAGCCGAGAGTTGATAACCAAAACAAAATTATATTCTCAATAATGGCAGATCAAAAAAACAATACACAAGTATGCACACTCCACAATAGTTGCATACAATATGTCACCAACCAAACAACGTACTACACAGTGCAATCAGCCATACTCGAAACAACGGACACAGACAACAATACGCACTACAATGCAGTCGCATGCATTGAACAACCAAGACACTTAAAGACTAAAGAGATAGAAAACCTATTCAGGCCAAAGTTCTTGGAACGAAAGTCTGGATGATACTCTTCCGAGAATCACTCACTCAAAGTCCAGCGTTGTTGTCGTTCCGCTGCCCCCGAAGTTTCTCTCTCTTCCAGGAAACCTCGTGTCTTCAATTGGCCACTCTCCAAGCTTCAAGCTTCTTCGCCGGAAACACGTCGGCTTCACACACGCAGCTGTTGCCACGCGTCTTCGCTCGATAGCGGTAAACACACACTCTTGCCTGTAGCTCGAGTCGTCACCCTTCAGGTGGAAATCATCTTCTTCTCCTGCTTTGTCTCTACGGACAAAACCTTCACCGACTACACGGCGGAATCCCTACGCGTCTGGCGCTAACTTCCGTCTTCTCCTGATCTCTCATCTCGGCTGCTCGATTAAGTACCTTCCGCGTGAGATTCCAGAAAGTTCTCATCATTTCGTCAGCGCGATACGCAGCGAAGGCTGGGGAGAGGGCGAGGACGGTTCGAAGGCTGTCCGCGACGGATGACGCAACCCGGCATCACCACGCCCCTTTCCATCTAGAACATTCGAGGGCTTGCTCGGGCGCCGATGAGAGGAGGTTCGTCGGCGAACCTATGCTTCCGAGGGGAGAGGGTCGCGCGCCTGGGGAGTCTTTGGATGTTTTTCTTTTTTTTTATCGTTGACCTCGCGGCGTCACTTCGGCGTTTCTTCGCGAGAATTTGGCAGCGCGCCCTTTTGAGCGCTCGTTTTGTAACATTAGGGCATGCAGGAGTGGTTCCTGCTGGGTTCGATTTGTAGTGGCTGGCTCTTATCTGCTTCCTGACAAATGAAATGGCACATGGCCACAAAGTAAACACTCCAGGTTTCCGCTTGTGCTCGGTAATAACCGATTTCAAGTGTGTCACGAGCCGTAAGCCAAGTAGTAGTCATGTGACTCATGTCAGCAATGATGTGGCTCAATGTTGCCTCGCACCATCTGTGCTGTGGGGTACTGACAGTATTCCATATTGTTCACCTTTGCTTTTGTTGTTAGTATTATGCTAAAACAACTACAAAAAGTAAAAGTTTGCTGAGCTCTAATTTGATGTAGCGAATAACTGATAGCTGTATCGTTGATCAATGTGGCTGTTTGGGCAATGTTGTAGGATATAGTGTATCTAAAGCACCCTTATATCTCACATGTGTTTCTGTATGTCCTCATCTAGTTGTGCACCGAAACATTGTTGGTGATGTTCTAGCTGTAGTTTCAACGACTGCAGGCTTTTGCCACCATATTGAAAGCACCACTATAGGCCATGAAAAATAAGTTCTTTATGTTTGAAGCAAAAATTTGTGGTGCTGAAGAAGTCTGAACTATATGAAGTGTTGCAAATTACAAGATTACCATCTTATCATGGCAGGAAACCACGTTTTCTCAAGCATGCAATGCTGAATAATGCTGAATAATGCTGAATTATTTGGAAACAGTTTTATACAGTAGTGCCCAGTTGCAGTTTTAATTTTAGAGTGTACGTTAAAACCCCAGAGGAGTTTTTATGTAAATAAAGCTGGCTGTGTGAGCACAAAACTATGTGCACATGAGTGCTATGTGCACTGCATTGGTAAATTGTTTTAATTAAGGCTCTCTACGGGACGTTGTAATCCTCCTGGGATGTTGTGAATATGCATGACCACCCGAAAGTTCACTGCCAAGAAAAAAACGTTCTTGTATTTGCAAGTTCATAAAGGAGCTTCCCTCTCTTCATTGAAAAGGCCAACCACAAGAGAGCACTCACAAAGTATGGCAGCTTATGCCAACTCGTGACGCAGGTTGTTGGTTGTTTACGTTCCAAACAAGTTAGTGTCGATGTCACATGGTAGGAGGTTTTTGCATGCAGTCGCACAACATGCACTTTAATATCAATTTTAAATACATCCTACGCTCTGTTAGCCATTGATATTTTACAGTTGATGTGTGTTTGTCTTCGCGAATCTGTCTGCCAAGTAATCTTGCCTTCGAAATTTTGAGTCAGGACTCCCTTGATAACTTTGTGCTTCACACTCTTGCAGACGGGGATGATTCCGGCGAAGAGCAGCCACTCGAGGGCGAGTGCCAGGACCCTAATGCGGGACGCTTTGTCCGGTACCAGTTCACTCCGCAGTTCCTCAAGCTCAAGACTGTGGGAGCTACGTGAGTCTCTCTGTTAAGCCGTCCCTCGTTTTAGCAAAGCCTGTGCTTTACGTATTACAGTTGGTTTTAGTGATATATAGTTCACAATGTACTGCCGTGAGCAGTACGAGTCGAATACTTTGAACCCCAGTGTACAGATACTAAAATACTGGTGTAAAGAATTAAGTGGAAAGGTATGGTATAACTGTTAGTACAAGTGCACGAATCAATATAAAGGAAGAGAGGACAAGTGCTTTCTCGCAACTAAACTATTTATTAGAAAGGGAAGAATACATAAACAGGCAATCAAAAAACAACGAATGTGTGTGCAGACAAAAAGTACACCCGTGGTACATCGAGAACACCGGGTAAAAGAAGAAAGATTATCTCTGAACATAATCTAGAAAAGCAAACTCTTTATCGTGCAGCAAAACCGAAGGCTGGCTGACGCATTGTTCCCCTCTTTTTCTTATGTGAAAAGCTTCTGTCAACTCACGAGTTAATTGATTGTTAAATCGAAAAAAGAGGATGACAACCGCACTCTCTGCAATGAGCCGCGAAATACGATGCACCCAAGGATTTCAAAGAAGAATCGTGCTCTCTGAGACGAACATTGACGCACCTTCCGGACTGACCGATGTACACTTTACCACAGCTAAAAGGAGTCATGTAAACAATGCCCATTGCGCAGTCCATGAACTTTTTGCTGTGTTTCATGCGACATTGCGGAAACTCTCTACGCATGCGTGAACAAATAGACTGCAGTTTGCTTTTGGCTGAGAAAAGCACATCGACTTTATATCTACTAGAGAGTTGCTTAAGTTCATGCGATGTCTTATGAAGGATAGAAATCACTGCTATCCTCCTACCTTTTCTACTCTCATCACGACGCCCCCAGTGGTTCCCTTCAAATTTAAGTTTCTTAATGAAATTGTTACAAATGAACATGATGACATCATTAGGATACCCTGCTTGTACTAGTTTCTTTACTTGACTATCAGAGCTCATTTTCATTCTGTGTTGACGACAGGACTTTTTCAGAGCAAAACCGAAACTCGTAGTAACGATACTTCTCTTCACTAGCTTAGAGTGGCTCGACCTGTAATTGAGTGTAGGCTTTACAGATCTAGGACAATAATAACAGCAAACATGCTGGGGGAAAGGGCCACACTTATTCAGGAACTGTTGTCACCCTCACCACAGATTTACTCTTAGGACATGTGGAATGTGTGATGCAGGTAACGGATTGACGTTATGCGCCTCTTGTACGGCTGGCGCTTAGCAAAGAGCAGTGCTGTCGATTTACATTTTGACACATCTTGATTTTGTGTATTGCTCACACCTATACACTCACACGAGCAAGAACACATTATCAGCGGTATTATGCAGAGCTATAGACTGCACACTTTTGTGCTCTGCGTGGTTTTCTTGTCTTATCACTGCAAGTGGCTGACGATATAAACACTACTGAGGCGATAAGGCCTACACTTAAGCGTGGCTGTGTCACCCTTTCCATGTGATTTTCAACATGCTATGGTGAATCACCTCACACTGGGTTTGAGGCTATTTCCCACTTGCTCAGATGTTGTTGTTCATACTGCTCATGATAGTACTTGCTATGCTGGCATGGTGAATCTGTTCTGTGAAAGTTTCTAAGGTGGAAGATGAAATATTTTCATCCACTCATTTATAATACTAGCTCCATGCCAATGTGAAGAGAAACACTTGAATTGTAGTATGTTGGGTCAGTTATGAATATGAATCTATTATAAATACAGCACAAAAAATGGAAGACATGTTCATGTAAGGGAGGTAATGGCAGGACAAATTGCCTGATTTTGACCGAGTTTTTAGACTGAAAGAATCGAGACCATACACGAAAAAGGTTGAATCTGTACAGTGCATGTGTCAAAGAGAGGGAAATCCTTTGCACACATCGCTGTTACACTTTCTTTGGCACATCCTTCATTCTGCTCCCAGGCGTCTTTGTTGGGCAAAGACACTAAAGCTTGAATGAAGGATATTTGCAAATGTGTACAGATGTGTGCAACCTTGATGAGCTCACTCGTTGTTTGGCTCATAAATTTAGGCAATATGGGAATGGAAAAACAGGCGTACAACCACACTTCTGGCAATGCACCGATAGGCTTGAGCTTTCCAATTCCATCAGAGAATGGTGTTCTCATGAAAGGGCCCTGCAACACGTTTTCCAAGTAGCCATGAAATGGACTCACTAAAAGAGATTGCCTCATGAATTCAACACTGCAAAAATTTTAAGAATCCTTCCAGTGTGAGCAGAGTGACAAAGATTTGTGGCATGCTGCAATTGCATTTTCTCTTCTCTCATCCTGACGAAAGCACTAGAAGCTAAGCAGGGGGGAATGGCACGAGCAAATAAAATACATCACGTGCGCCTCGTGACCTCGAGTACTTTTTTGTTCCAAATATGCGACTTTCCAGTGCGATCGCACATGCACGCGTGGACAATTCTCGGACTATCATAGGGATCTCTGGGACCACTGAGCGCACCATGTTCAAATTAGCCAATGGCTGGTAAACAGCTATGACAAGTGATATTTAAGCTTATTCTGTCATTCGTCGAGAGAAGTGAAAGCAAGTTTTAGCGCACCATGCGGCCTGGAATTTATTGCGAACTCCTGGCAGCGTGCTGCGCTATAATATTTGGCTCGCATGTTCTCGGGGGCCTCTACTACCAACCGACAGCGTTTTGTGACCATGCTGAAAAAGTGTTGCAGTGTCCCTTAAAAGGCCTTACCACAACACTTTTGATAAAAAAATTCTACTGTTTGGTAGTCGAAGCTCCTAAGAACAAGCAAGCTAGAATAAGCTCAAATATCACTCGTCACAGCTGTTCTGTCGGGCATTGGTTGATCTAACATGGCGCTCTCGTTCGTAGCAGGGATCGCCACGAGAGTCCGAGACTTGTCCCTGCGTGCACATGCATATTTTTGAAGAAAACAAAAAAAAGCTCAAAGTCATGATGTGGGCGTGACTAGTATTTTCCTTGCTCGTGCCATACCCCTTTGCTTAGCTTCCAGTGCTTTCGTCGGGACGAGAGACAAGATAATGCAATTGTCGCATGCGACAAATGTTTGTTACTCTGCTCGCGCTGGAAGTATTCTACGCATTTTGGTGGCAGTGAATTCGGGAGGCAGTAAGCTCCTTTAGGGAATCCGTTCCATGAGTACATAAACAAGTGTTGCAGGGCCCCTTTAGCTGCATGTGGAGTCGTCTGCTCTACACAAGCGCAGCTGCATGACAGTGAAATTGAGTGCACAACATCGAAATAGTATGATGCGTAACTGTGAACATATTTGTTACTGCATTTCAAATCGTAAACAGCGTGCTACCAGTTAGGCAGATTGTGCATGAAGGTAGACCGTCGGGTGTAGAGTAAGGAAGCTGTTTATGGAGCTACTTTCACGATTGCCCTACTGGCCCAATGTGCTTGTACAAAACCTTTTTAAGGCCAGCCATGCCTGGTTTGACGTTCGGATCACGTTGAACATATCTTGACTGCTACACTCTCTTTTAGAGAAGCCACGTGGCTTTTGGAGAAGCCATTGGGTGAGCTTTCAGAATCTCACAACTTCCAGTTTTGGTGCCGGTGGTGTATACCGCAGTTGTCGAAAAATGTTCTAGCCTGAAACGAAGCCATACGATTTTGCTTAGCGGTCAAGTATTCTACTGCAGAGCCTTGCCACTATTTGAAACATCTTCAAGAAAGATGATATATTTGTAGCAGAGGCATAGAATTGCACTGGGCACCACCATGTGAATTGTACGAACAGGTGGTTTAAAGCTTTCCCATTATTAAAAAAAAAGATCTCTGGTATGATGAGGTAAGCAGCCAAAAATTTTTCTCGATGGGGGGGGGGGGGGGGCAGGGGAGGGAGGGGTACCACTTTAAAATTGTCATTTTTCGCTCTCTATGCCATGGCGAAAAAAATTTCGGTGGGGAGGCTTGGGCTTGGTGTGCCACCCTCTGGTTGCGCCCCTGGTTATGATTCATCATTAACAACAGCCACAGCAGCAGCAGTGTGTTCTAGCTACATAGGTGCTCACATTGCATTACAGGCACTTAACTGGCCCTTCACTAGCAAAATTATGATGACTTATTGAGTAGTTAGTACTTTGCAATGGTGCAGCAGCATATAGCCTAAGAGAGTTTACAAAGAGCTCCATGAAGGTTGCTGTGCAAGCTGAAGCTGTGACTTTGCTGATCATTCTACACAGGCCTTTTATCATTATATAATTTTGTCTTGCATTCGAGTGAATTGCAGTTTTTCTTTCATCTGCTGTGCATTCTTGACAGATGCACTAATTGCATAGTGTTCAGTATTGTCTGTCTCACCTTTTTTAATCACCGGCCTCGCAGAGTGGAGTTCACAGTGGGGAGCAAGCCCGTGAGCAAGTTCCGCATGATCGAGCGACACTTTTTCCGGGACAAGCTGCTCAAGACGTTTGACTTTGAGTTTGGGTTCTGCATCCCCAACAGCAAGAACACATGCGAGCACATCTACGAGTTTCCCACTCTCTCCCAGGACTTGTGTGAGTGTTGCATGCATAATTCCTGCATGATTATATAGTTTTGCACCATGTTGCACCACCCAAGTTTGTATCCTGCCACCACAAATATATCATAGCCATTCCTCATTATCACATGATATACTATTGATGCAGTTTACTCGCATAAGCCTCTACCTCTGTAATAATTCTGCCATATCATGATCATTTATTAACTCTTAAAGACCCTATAAAGGGCATTAAAAAAGGGGGGGGGGGAAGGAGAATACGAATTCGAAATGAGGCAAATGCTGAAAGTGAAAACCCAACAGCGTTATAGAAAGCACAGATCATGCAAGAAAAAAATTGCACGACCAAAGTTCACTGTAAAGAGGCATGGAATACAATGATGTGATGGAGTGAAAATTTAAATAATAACAAAAAGAAAAATGGCATCGGACAAAGAGAAAGAGAACTAGACTTGATAATACAAGTAATCGTGGTGCTCATAACATAATAAGTGTAATATTTTTACTGTACAGTGGTAAAAAAAAATGGAAACATGAATACAAAAAATGCATAATCAAGTCATTTAACAAAGGTCGTACTTAATGAAAACTTGGATTTTTCTGGATTTTTTTCAAGGGCAATAAATTTGGGAAGACAATTTCAATAGTCTAGTATGATTTCACTTCCAATATGATTGTGGTTATTGAGTACTAAATGCTAAAGCAATGTATTCTCTTAACACTGTCTGGCACTTTTCACTATAAGAGTCAATAGCAGGCTTAGTTTGGAGCATTCATCTGAATACATAGAAGTAAGGAATTTTCAATTTTCTACGTTGAAAACAAAGAAGCTGCTTTTGTGCAACCAGGGCACCATTTGCGAGTACGAATATTCAACGTGACAAAATGTTTGAATTTACTACTAACTTGAGGAAATCACTGTATCCCCAACTCATGAGATAAAATTAAAGTACAGTCTGCTTAAACATTCCTGTATGGGGCTAGAAAAAATGTGTTCTTAACAAACAGGTGTACCGTTTAACAAACAATGGGCAGAGGTACAGCACTGTCCCTCGTACACCCTCTCAACATTGTGAGATTTGTTATACATTAACAAATGGTGGTGTCTGCTCGCTTCACTTGATGCATAAAGCACAGCACTATTCTACATGGCAGTTTTAAAATGGCTGTTCTTAACAGATGTGGCTAAACAGGGCCTTCATTACACGGTGCAGTGTGAGTTATGCAGGAGAAATCGGCAAACACACGAAAGTGTGGATGCCTCGAGCAGCTAAGGTTTTGTGTGTGCTCCATACGGATCCGCTTTATTTAACTTGGTGTATGGCGATGTTGTGCTATACATCTCTTCATAGTCAGCACAGCTGTGTTGAATACAATATAGGGTGTATAGGACCAAGTGCTTTGCAGTAAGGCATTCCACCACTGGCGTAACACTCCTCCTTCCCCAAATTCTCAAATTTTGCGTGTGAGTATATACGCACAGACATATGCCAAGCTTGGTGGAAACTTTCGTAGCTTTAAAGCACCCTTGAGATCTCCATCAAGCTAAAGATTGGTCATGCGCTTGCTTTTCACAATACTGACACACTCTTAGAGATGCAAAGTTTTCGGTTAATCTTTGTATAGGCACATTTTATATTTCAAAGTATCTATATATCAAACGATTTCAAATTTCCTTTTAGTTCACTCAAGTTTGACTCTATACAAAAACCTGCACACTAATGCTTTTGCATTACAACAGTCCAGTGATATTAGTCGTTGTGGTTAGACCTTGACAGTGTAGGTACTTTGCCTGGATGAAGAAGATGCCTGAAAGAACAATAGTTTATCAAAGGAAAAGCTTCTCGGATTTTAGTTACATGCTGGTGTACAATGCTGCATAAAATCAATTTAGACAGTTGTGGTCATTTAGGCATTCTACATGCTACCTAAAAACCTTGCAGTACTCTGTTCACTAGCAGGTTCATAGACTGTGGTACATATATAAAGTACTGGCATTCAAAAGTACTTCGTCTCAAAACATCCCGGTGAATAGCATCGAAAACTGTACATGATTGCTTCTCCAGTGAAAATTTTGTTGTCAATATTTCTAGCTCTCTAGTTTAAGATGTGGGCATTACATTAGTTTGAACAATATACATTGACATGTGGAATTTCTTTATAAGCCCCTGACAGATGTGCCAGGTTTTCATAAATCTAAAAAAAGTCAGTTATTGGCCTGCGTAAAACAAAATAATTTAACCTATGAAGCTAGTTTACAGTCAAACATTTGTTGCAGTTCTATAAGCACAAAATATTTGCTTATGGTGTCACATTTCTCTTAAAATTTCATGATTGTGTTGAGCCACCTATTGGCAGGAGCGGTTCACCTTCATCTGTCCTGTGTCATCGTGATTATGTAGTATGCGAACCTCACTGTGTGATACTACAAGCAATCTAAGCTGTGTCGTACTGTGCCTTTCATTGTGTTGCAAGTAAATAGATCAGTAACCAAGCAAGACCAACTAGGGGTTTCATTTTGTGTGCCTCGCTTTTATGTGCTACTCCGGTCGGTGACATCATGGTGATAAGCTATGCGCTTTCTGTTGTTGATTAATGATGTGCTATCATGGCTTCTATCTAGGTGTGTGCCGAACTCGTTTCGTTGTATTTTTGTGTGCATATTGGTGCTGCTTCTTTGAGTGTCAGTGTGTCATCATCATGATCAGCAGCCTGATTACGCCCACTGTATGGCAAAGGCCTATGTTCCGGCAATCAACCTAGTTCTGGGCTTTCTGCTGCCAAATTATATCTGCAAACTTCTTAATCTCATCTGCCCATCTAATTTTCTGTCTCCCCCTCACGTTTTTACCTTCTCTTAGAATTCTGGCAGTTCCCCTAATGACCAGCGGTTATCCGGCCCACGCGCTGTCTGTGTGTCAGTGTACTTTATTTCTGTGTATATGTTTGACCATTGTGTTTATGGCAAGCCATATGTAAAACGAGGCTAACATATCCACAATTGTCACCACCACCCATCTGCCTGATGCTGCAGGTGACGAGATGATCGCCAATCCATTCGAGACCCGGTCGGACAGCTTCTACTTTGTGGACGACAAGCTGATCATGCACAACAAGGCCGACTATGCCTACAACGGCGGTCTTCAGAGCCAGTAGAGGAGGAGTCCCACTGGCGAGACCCGTTTTCCCCCTTGTCGCCTCCACTCCGCTGCTGCAAGATTTGCACACCACTTGGCCAGTACCGTCGTGGTCAACACGGTGACTGCCTGTATCTCGCACATGGACTGCTCCTACTTGTGACCCACTCACCTAGGACACTACGCATACCATGTACGCACACTCCTCTGCGCCTGCCATTAGGTCGCTGTCATCTGCCGCACGCACACGATTCGTCGCAGCACGGGAGGAGGACGAGCTTTCCTCTTCTTCGTTGCATACAGGAATCGGCAGCAAGGTTAGAGATGCCAACTGTGGAAAGACCTGTACATCCTCTGCACAAGAGCATCGTGGCATGTTCTGGCTTAGAATTTTTTTGTAATGGTGAGGACTCGCTTCTTGTGTTAGACCACTGGTCTGTCGTGTTTGCTTATGGAAGCTGCTGCAGTTGGGAAGAGCAAAAGTTGATATTGTGTGCACCTTCTTTGGTCAGTCATTGCCTCACCTTTCAGGTTTATGGACTAGCTAATGTGCGTGGACACATTTTATAGTGGTGTTCTTGAGAGATCCGTGAAAAAAGTACTGTGCAAATGAGTTGTTGTGAGGGGTACAGAAGGTGCAGAATAAACAGTAATAAAGCTTCCCAGAGTGGCACCAATCACATACTCTATCTCACTAACTGAGCAGTATTGACTTAATGAGCATAAAGAGATACTATGGTAGCGCAACATGAAAAAGTACATCATGATAAGCTGTCCCCTTTTTTGTGAGTTTAGTAATACTATCTGGGTTTTTCATCCCAAAACTGCGATATGATTATGATAGATGCTGTAGTGGAGGGACCATAGGGTGTTTATGAACCTGCGCCGACATCGGAGAGCATGCGGGCCTCTAGCATTTCGCTTCCATCGAAATGCAACCATCGCATCTGGGATTGAACCTGTGACCTTCTCTCGTGTATGTTTACTGCAATGTTCCCGACTTTTGTAAAACTTCTCTGAGGGTGCTGTTTTAAATGGTCAGGGTAGGAGTTGAGTAAGGATGATGGTCTTTGTTTTTCTTTTGTATGGAATGCTTGCTAGGTTAAGCCATGCATGACCATGTTTGCTAGTCTGGTGCTTGCTGGTGAAAGCACTTGTATGAAGTCGACCACGGGCTAAATATTTATCTAAGAAGCAGTTGGAAGGCTTCCCGCTGTTTCCTGCTTGGCAAAGGGCTTGAACTGTATTGCACATAATCGGTTTTCTGAGAGAATAATATTTGTTGCTGCTTGAGTTGTGTCCAGAGTTGACGAAATTGTATTATAGTATTGACAAACTCTTGACCCACCTTTCTGGGTTTATTTGTCATTTTTGTTTTTCATTGTATTTGGGGACTAAAATAACTTCACAACATCGCTGCGTACACTTCTGCTTTGCATTGAGTACCTGGTTTTCTTGATGACTTCGTTGAGGTTACAGTAGGGACGTTCTTTGGCTGTACAGATAATTTTTGACAGCTGTGGTCTGTTTCGGCACACCTCATAGTGTCACAAATGCTGCGCAATTACTGCACGCACAAAAACATCCAAGTCTTTACATGCCCTAGTTTAGATGTTCGAACCGTATTATAGCGTTTACCACGTGTTCACTGCACGTGAGTGCCTATGGTTGGTAGACAGTTGTGAACAAGCTCAGTTTCTCTTAATGATATGCTCTATTTGTATGTTGAATCTGCTATGCGACTTTCTTCATGGCCTCTTCCGTGTTCAGGCATCATTACTGATGAAGAAAAAAAAAATAACTGGCTCAGAACAGTCTAGGAAGAGTTGCCAAAATTTCTCATTTTGACTTCACACCAAGTGTTTATAGAACAGTGGATTGAATCCGCTCCTACAATAAATACTATTACAATATGTCTGGCTTATCACGAGTAAAAGTTAACAGAATAACTCTTATGAACAGTCAGAACAGCATGCTCAAGTATTCTGGTGACCCTGCTAAAACTGTCTTGTTTCCATGGCAACCAAAAAGCCAAGTTCAGCTAGTGGTAGTAGTTATGCATGCTTGCTGGGCTCTCTACATGCTGTGCATTATATGAGCATACCAAGTTTTTTTACCGTGCCGTGAGGCGAAACTCTTTTCAAAACTGAAACGTTCACACAAAATTAGCTGACTTTTGTATTGGGATGCAAATGACCTCTCCTGAATTGAACCTAGGTCTAATATGACCCGACATGTACCTCTGATGCGAAACTGTTTACGCAAATGTCTAAAAATGGTTTACGCCTCAGTTTTGATGAATTGTAGCAAACTTGGCAGCAGCACTGCATGTTGTAAAAACTTCAGAGTTTAATGGAAGTGAAGCATACGCAGGTGTGATGTGTGTTAAGGAAAACACCTTTTTTGTTTCAGAAATGATGGAAAGTTGTGGCATATTTAAGTGGGCAGCACAACTGTCGTGAAGCAACGTCTGGATGAAAGAATTATGTCTACACAAACCTTCGTGGCATTACTACACAGCTACTGATAGAGAATGGTTGTGAAGACACTTTCAGAAGTCTAAGCTACCGTATATGCTACTGTACACCCTACTGTACAAGCTACTGTCTTGCAAGACAGGTGGTTAGAATGATGTAGTGTGCTCATATGAACACAACATTAACAACATTGTACAAATGTTTGTTTTTTTCTTTTTTGATTGTTTGTATTGTGTCTAGGCACAGTTTTGCTTTGTTTAAAACACCACCAGAGGTGACACCATTCTTAGTTTTTGTCAGTGTGTTATTTAATTATATCAAGTTGATGCTTTTGCTTTCCATGCAATAAAGTTTTAAATTGCCTTGGGACTACTTTATTGCTTGAAATAGGGGCTAGCTTTCTTGCTTGCTTTCAGCCCAATACTCAATTATCGTAATTTGAAGGCACGTCCCAGTTTGCCAAAAGAGCCTATGACTCAGCATTTTGAAGGGAAATATTAAAGCACAGCTTGAAGCTGTGGAAGACAGCTTCATGTTCTGTGTTCCACAGCTATTTTTTGTGCGTGTATGTGCTCAAGCTTATAGCTACCAACATGACACAGTGTTTGGGAGCATGTAATCTCAAAGAAAACTAGATTTTATAAAGTAATAATATAAGTAGCCACGTGCAGGGCTTGAAGAGCTGCATTTTGTGTAGTGTAAAGGCCCTGGAGAATGAAAGCATTTTAATAGTCCTGTTAAATAAAGGCAAATAACTGCTTTTGAAATGTGATGCATATTCATGAATTAACTTTTCGAAGTGCATTGATGTCATGACCGGATGTTGGACAATAACTATTTTTCATGTAAAAGGATAAAAAGGCGAGAACGACCGTATGTTGAGTTAGGTAGTGGCATATTGTAGAAAAAAAATGTGGTGGTAGTGGCGAGAGGGAAAGTAATTTGGACATGTTTTGGTTGTCATGTCCGTGTTTGCACGCCTTGCTTAAATTTGCTATTAAAAATAGATTTATTGAGCGCTGGAGAACTAATCGGCAGGGCACTTGCACTGTAGATTGACGCTGGTCGTCATGCAGGATTTCCAGATCTGCAGCGTGTAGAGTACGTACAAAGTGTCTCAAAGTAGCAAGAAAAGTAGCTAGTTGCCAGCTTACTTAGCCAATCATTTTAAAATATAGCGGTGCAGACATGCACATGTGTAGCTGTTGTCACTATGGCATGTTAGAACAAGCAATCCTGAAGGCACAGACAAAATTGGTCACTATGCTGAAATGCACCCCCATCAATCTAGCTTTTTTTTGCTTACAAACTACAAGCATTTCTTTCGCAAGTTATTCAAGGCTGTATCATTGGGTAGATCGTGCTTGGACATCGTTTGTTGTGCAGAGGGTAGGAGATGTGGGTGGTGCAAAAAAAACTGCGGTGAACTAAACCTGGGCGACCTGATTTGCTCCTGTTGGTTGGCCCAACAGCACGGCACGCTAAGTAGTCATTTCAGCTGTTGCAGCTGCAGTACGAAGCTGCTAATGCCTCGTGGTTTGTGACACTTGAAAGGTTGGCACTGCGCAGCTTCCCTGCTCTTTGGGCTGTGATCGTAGTTCCCTTCTCTCTGCAGTCTGTTGCGAGTGATGCAAGTACATTTTTATAGTTAAGCACTTGTTTACGGTAGTTTTAAAGCACAAGGTGCCTGATCGTAAGTATCTCCCGAGCTGCTCTTAAAGTACATTCGTGCTGATACACACTCACTTCAAGTTGTATGGCAAGGCTAGAGTGCATAGTTCGAGCCACGCATGATCTGCAAATTACTTTCATAGATTCGCCATCTCGCACAGCTTTCTGGTGATTGTGCCTCATTGCTCACACTTTTGTAGTTTCACACTGCCTCTTGCAATTTCGTTAGCTGTCCTGTACGATGCGTGATTCCTAATAGTTGCTAAAAGAGATCAAAGTGAATCGGCCAATGCTGTTTACGTAGTGCTGGGACAGTGCCACTGGCTAGGTGGCCAAATAAGCAACCAGATATCAGCCCACCCAAAAAAAAAAAAGGTAATTGGACTAGTCTGTGGAGAAAAGTAGCAGCCAGGAAAGCAGTCAAGCTACAACTGTATGATAAACCCTCTCAGACATTCATACTCTGCACCAGCAATTGAGTATGCCTTCAGCCGATAGTAGAGGATTCAATGTGGTCAAATTAATATCGGTGATCAGCCAAGTTAGTTCATTGTGAAGTAGGCAAAGCTGGTTAAACTGCACTGATTTCGTCTGCATGAAGAGTAGGCTATGAAATTGCAGTTGTGTATTTGAATTCTTTCAATGCTTTACAGCATTGAGGTGTGACTGGGACGCTTGTTTTAGTGCTCTGTGTAGTACCCTGTCCTTGCTCTGCCTCGAGTTTTCTTCGGTACACTGGATGTTCATGTTTCACGAGAATAATCTTCGACTGGCACTTGTAGTGATACTATGCATCTTACGTGGTATCATGCATCTTGCATAGGCATGCGTGATGCACCCACTGCTGTTGCTGCCATACATTACTATGCGTTGCACATGGCTATGGCTTCATATTGGGTCATTTGGCCTCCAGTAGCCCGACACAAATTCAGGTGTAGTTTCTGTCCCAGTGTTTACATTCTTTTACAAAATGCTCATTTTAAGTTATGGTGATAGTGTCACTACCAATAACTCGGAAATATAATATTGCCTTCTCTGTCCACAGTTTCTGACCGTGCAAGTGTAGTGATTTTTGGCCATCTGTCCACGACACTTCTCAAGCTAAAGAAACGGGTTATATGGGTCTGACCTATTCTCTGCCAATAGTCAAGTCTCTCTCATCTTCCCCAATTAGTGCCCTTGATTGTGAATGTGCCTGTCCACTTGGTAGGCCTCTCTTCCTGGCTCTCCCTTTATTAACTGCACCAATGTCTGATTAGCTCTGCAATGTAGAGCGATACTTGGACTTGACGGCACTATTGCAGCCTTTGCACATGGAGTAGACACGTAATAGTGACAGCACTTCAGCCAATCTATGCGTTTGCTGTTTTCCTTTTGTCTTCACAAGATTAGGTTTGCGGGCCTGCCTATTCGCTGCATGGATTTCATCATTAAGGAACAGTTATTAGCAAATCTGTAGATGCTTGCATCAGGTACACATAGGTGTTACAAGGCAAGGTTGCAGTTGTGTATAATTCACCGATGGAAATTACAGAGTGTGTAAAACAACTTAATTATGCAGTGTGCACATTTCAACTAATGAGAAGGGATCCTGTGTGTGGCTTCAAGTGATGGGGCATAACCTGGCGCAGGTCGCTGTAAAAAACAAATTTCTTTGTTTCGTGTGGCACTTAAGGAGAGTGCAGTGCTTTTATGTAATGGATTAGCACTTTGGAAGTTGACCACGGTGTGCAAACATAACACTACTTTCGCTCCCACTTTTGCATTAAGAAAAAAATTGGTGAAAAGCCACGCTGACCATCAGTTGTATGAATGTGCTATTTACACATATTTTTCCCGCCCATTTTCTTCAATGCGTAAAGCAATCGTCTAACTGAGCTGCATGCAAAGTGCAGCCTGCTCGCTCGGCGATGCTGGAACCGAAGACCCAAGCATGGACCTACATAGAGTGCAATGATGAAACGCAACAAACTGTGAAAGCCATTGTCTGTATTAAAATAGCATTCTTTCATTACATGTGCTAGCGCTAACTTCTGTGTCTAGGTCATGTTATTTTTCTGTATGACCATATTTGTGACTTCCGATTACAGCTTATTTCTTTGTCATTGAGTTATCTGAGCATGAAGAGTCAAAATTTCCTTCAAGTCACGATTTCATCGTTGTGCCTTGCTATATATAATAAGACGCCAGGTGTTTTGGTTCTGTTGATTAGGGCAGAACAGTGCTGCTGTCTGTTCCTGTGTACCACTCTTTAGCTCCTCTTCACGGTATTCCATGGCTTACATCCTTGCATCCTGAGCAGTATAGTTAATAATCGTGATGGAGCACATAATAGCCCTCAGAAACGTGATGGAGCACATAATAGCCCTCAGAAACATTAATTGCACTGAATACCTTCTGACACTATTCGATTGGCCTATCTGCCTGCAACTTGAATATGCATCTGGCACACAATTCATCTGTTGCACTTTCATTTAAATTCCGCCGGATTGAGATTCTGTTCCTGCAAAAGCTGATGGATTAACATAAACATCGGTAAAGTTGTACACTCACCTACCTTTCCGAATTGTGCAGCCCCCCACCCTAAACCATATAGGCCTCCTCAAAAAACCCCTTCTCGGGTCGCCACTAATCAGTATCTGTGTAGCCCTGCTTTTGTTTATCCCAGTGTTCATATAGTAATGGCTATGTTTGCATGTACTTTACACACTTTGTGTGCTTACAAAAAGGCTGTGCACTTTCAGTTTCTGACTTCACAATTTGATATTGTAGATCTCTCACGGTGTTGTCAGTTAACCCCACAAGGTACGGAGGACTTGTCGTCGTAGTGAACTTGGGATACCTGCGAACTAAAAGATGCAGAGTTGAGTGAGGTGTCGGTTGCACTGTATTGCTCACATTAGATGTGCTTCGAGCTCTGTTCGCAGGTACCTGTGCATGCATAGCAAGAGAAGAAGAGGGGCAGTGGTTCGTGATACGCGTTTATTTGGTGCAGTGCCTGTAAGGCATACTAATATGTTTGCTTCTGAGATTCCATTAAAGCAGCTGCAAATGTTTGGGGGATTTCTACCTTTCTACACTGTGATTGCGACTGTGCAGATCTGTTTAGCGAAGCTAATCTTTCTTGCTGGCATGTTTACTCTCTGCCATATGTTATATTACAAGGACAACCGTCATTATTGCTATTATGATATATAGATATATGTATGAATGCAGCACTGTGAATAATGAATTAAAGGCCTATGCTTCACCACAATGTGATGTCATCACTGTAGTAGTATAATACGTATTATCATTTCAGATGGTACTATTAATATGTAGGCTAGTGGTGGACTACAAACTTTCTATAAACTTTCTGCTGAGAACACTTCTTAAAATTTTTCCTGTAATATTGTTTCTCATTGTTGAGCAGCTGTTTATATCTTAGCACAAATTAACATATATATGTTTAAACAAGTATGCGCACATTTGGGCTCGTGCCTCCTGAACCCTCAGGAAACAACTTCTCTTGTGGATGAATTTTTCAGTCTGCTCGGGAGGTACACAAAGGTTAAAATACAGGATTTTTCGGAAGGAGGGGGGGGGGGATTTTTCATTTAAAGTGGGGAATAGTCTTATGGGGGGATTAGAATTCCGTTTCTTCATACCGCTTGCCCAGATATACCCGTGCTCACACACAACTACTTGTTGGCCTTTCAA